AAATAGCAATTCCAGCTGACGAGAAAGGAAAGGAGTTTCTAAGTGTCCTGGGAATGATGCTCATGACAGACTGGGTCTCAGCAGAGAGGACCTCAGCAGAGAAGGCATGGCTCTCCTGTCAGCACCTTAGGGTGTCCCTGGAACATCTTGATGCCTCAGTGGACCCCAGGGCTCTTGTTTGTTTCAAGGTCACTTACCCTAATCTCGCTGGAGAACGCAGCTTTCTGTAAAAACTAAGGAAACCCAGGGGTAAGAGGACACCCTGGACACCAGCCCAGACCCCATCAATAACCAAAACCCAAGGCTGGGCCCTGGGGCCCCTGTGACACATCACTGCGATGCTATTTCCCACTCAGAGGGGACATGGGGACACACGGTGGATGTGGGCAGAGCCATCATCTCACCCCTCTGTGTGGGCATGAAAATGTTTTCCTCCAGAAGTCCCTTGCACCATATGAATTTCTTAAATTCTTCCAGGGCCCCTGGGTTCACATCAGGACTCTTACCTGTGGGTGAGTTGGGCAGGTGAGCCCAGGTGGGGATGGCTGCACGGCTCTGCAGGGAGCCGATGCTGTGAGGAGACGGCCACCACCCTGCATGGTGGGCGAGGGCAGGAGGGGAGGCCAGAGAGTGGATGCAGAACTCCGGGGTGGGGACAGAGGACAGGGGAGATGGCTGCTTCCCAGCTGACAGGTCCTTGGAAGGAAGAGTTGTGGGGACACCCCAAGACACTGAACAAACATGGATGACACGGTGGGCTCCAGAAGTTGCCCTGCAGGGTCATGCCCCTGACCTGGAATGACCTGGTGTCCCGAAGGCACTGGGCTGCCCTCCCACCCTGGAGGGTCCCTGCCCCATGAAGGCCTCTGTCAGGGCACTTGCCCCCCCATGCGCGAGACCCCAGGAAGCCCCACGGCAGCTTCACGTCCCTGAGGGCCACATCTGCCCTTGCCCAAGACAGTTCCCTCCCGGCCCAGCCCATCCTCATGGCAGGAGCTCACCCAGCACGGCCTGGCTGCCCGGGCAGCTCCCTGTGCCCGGGACACAAAGGCCACCAGGAGGCTCCTTGTCTATCCACGTGGACTCATATGCTGCTCCTTTCAGAGGTGCTGGACCTGCAGCCACAACATGGCTGGTGCCTCTTCCAGTAAGTTCCAGGAGCACAAGCCATAAGAAACTTAGTCATAAGCTTGGCCATTCGGAGTTGTTCCCAGTCTCCATGTGCTGTCACTCCACGCCACACTTAGAACACACAGGGGAGACTGTCGTGGCCTGGACTTACGCAAAGGGTTGTCAGGTCCAGCACCAGAAGGTGAACTCAGTAAAGGGAAATTAGTGACTTGGACTCCATCAAGATCGGGCGTTTCTGCTCTACAACAGGTACTGTCGAGACAAATATATATATATAATGTGGAGAACATTAATTAACTTAACCAAATTTATACTTAC